GTGTCTTTCCCCTCCTGATATCAAGCGACAAACAATGTTTCAGGAGGGGAGTTCCCGACAGCGTCGATCTCTGCGTCTGAGAGATGCCGGCGACGCGCCGCCGAGGCGGTCGGGTCCGAGCACAGAAACTGCCCGTGGATAGCGGAGTGAGGGCGCGCACCGTCCGAAACAGAACCAAAGGCTATCAGCCGACCCGCTGTCCAACAGGTGCCAGAGAAACAGGCAGAGAGCCAGTATTTCTGCCGGCTGTCGAGCTTCTTTGAACGCAGCATTCGTCTAACGGGGTCGGGTGAGACGCGGGGCTTCGCAAAATCAGCCAAGGCGCTAGCTATCCTACGGACATGCATCTGCTGAACGCCTTCCTCAAGCAACTTATTGATCAGGGCAGGGGAGTTGCAAAGCAAGTCGATGGCCGATCCTCGTTCGTCATGACAGACAGAAAAGCCGACTGCTTTCCAGCCGATCCCTCGTAGACTGATCAGCATCCTGCGGATGGGCCCGCGAAGCTTCCTCCAACCAGTGACCTCCGAATCAAGCTCCTGACCCTCAACCGTATTCCGCCAAATCTGAACGTGCTGCCGAAAAGAGAAGGGGGAGGTGTCGGGTTGGGTGATCGACCTCCAGAAGCTCGCGGCCTACAGATGGGCTGACGCAACTGATTGCTTACACGCTGGATCGCCGTGCAAAACGAGCTTGGTCGTCAGAGTGGCGCCACGGCGAGCGAGATTCCCTCCGGCCAGAAGCGCCCTCTGAAGAGATTTGAGTTCGGCATCCGCCACGCCTATCACCATGGGTCCGCACCCATCGGCAGGGCGAACTTCAGCAACGAAAACCTCTTGCATCCTGGATTTGTCACAAGGAAGTTCACGACGATAGTGGGAAAGAGTATGATGACGTTTCCTCATTATCCTGAACCTCTCCTTCCTCGTATTCCTGCCTCTCCTGCAAGCTCGCCGCTGGCCAGGTCCGTGCCCAGCGAAACGGCGGCGTTGGTCGCAGCTGATGGACAAACCGCGCGCAAGCGACGGCACACACGATTGGCGAGGCGCTGCGAGGAGTCGAAGGTGAAGGCCTTGTCCTCCACTAGGCGAACATTCAGCCTGCTGGAAAAGACATCCATGAGGTCGATCCCTGCTCTAACGAGGTTGGCTGCTACCGTGTCCGCGTCGCCATACGCGGCCTGTGTATCGTCGCCAACGCAGGGGCCTAGGGAGACCTCAGGGAGCCTCTGGGACCATATATCAAACTCGAACATCGCGTAAACCTTGACGAACGCATACCTAGTTAAATCGATCCAGGTTCAGCTGGAAGGCCCAGGTTCAGCGAGCCAGGGGGAAATGATTGGCCCCGAGTCGCAGGATCCTGGGAGACCTCCAGGGGTTGTATAACGTCCTAACGAGCACCATGGGGATCTCCCAGAGGATGGCCCTGTCGCGGAGCCAAACCAAAACAAAGGATTCGCGGTACTTCATGCCATTCCAAGTGAAACAAGCCGCTAGAGGAAGCCTGCTCCGAGAGAACGCTCTGATTCCAGACAGCCGCCTCCGAGTTCTCCCCGCGCCCAAAGGACCGGTGGGGCCGATGGGAAAAATTATCGCATCGGCGCTGTCGGAGCCCTTCCCAAACGCGGACAGGGGGCCCCGGAAGTAGAATCGGGCGGAGACCACCTTCGGGCTTCTCAAGCAGGTGGCACCAACATCCACAGAAGCTGGGCTGGGAACGAACCTATACGATCCACTGCCTCGTGCAGAATAGCAAGGACCTCGAGCCCCTGGTCCCTGAGGCATGCGAACTGCCTGGGGCCGAAGCCGTCCAACGACTGCGACGCGCGACGGCTGAAGGATCACGCCGCCGACGGGCTGGCGCAAGGAAAACATTCTCGATTCGTAATCCAGGCCGACGGAAACGTGAGACTCGCATTCCAGAGCTCGCCAAACTATTGAGTCTCTGGCACGAGGAAGCCCTGGGGGTCCGGCGTGAAGATACCAGGGGAGCTCTCGACGATGGAGGGCTGCCATTTCTTCTGGACCTTTGTAAACACACGCAAAAGCCTCGCGGAGCCCGCCAACGCTTTTGATTGCCAGGAACCCCAAGACTCTTGGGACGCCTTCTCGCCATCTGCGATGGCCTCGTCGTAATCAGCCTGGGTATCCTGCAGAAGCTGGGAAGCTTGATCGCTCCACTCCTGTGCTGACGGGCGAACTTCTCGCCAGGTGGGCGCCGTCTCGCGCGCGGAGCGCAAGGTGGCGCCCAGCCTGGAGCAGAGACCCTCCCCAGGGCAGGAGTGCTGCAGAGCGACCTGGAGCTGCTGACAAACAGGCAGATCACGGTCTGCAGCAACGGCATTGGCCCAATCAGACATCTCGGTGAACGCCTGGAAATTCCAAATCCAACCTGCGATGGTCTGGAGCTTATCGTCTGGACTGTTCGGGCAATAGAAAGCAGGGGCCCAAGACGTCTTCACCGTACGACTCCTCTCTCCTAGCTCCTTCGCCTCCGCGCAGAAAGAAAAAGCGGCGAAGCTCCACTTCAGCCCAGGCCGACGTAGCCGAGGCGTGCATGCAAAAAGAGATGGCCTGCGCGTAGTGTGCCAGCGCACCTCCCCACTCCACTGGAGACGGTAACGGCCCAAAGGGAGGATCAACAGGGAGTTGCTGATGTGTGCATGTGTACGGTATACCAATTGCTAGAAAAGAAGGGAATGCCCACGGACCTGAAGCCGAACGGGCCGATGTGGTTCAAGGACGTGTCCGCGGAAAGCTGAGCAACGAGGCGAGCCGCCCTAAGGCCCATGGCGAAGTACTCGATGATGTTGTTCGGCAAGGACAAACGGCACGTGCGGTCGGACGGTGCCATGATCAACATGCCTAGCTTGCGAGGAAAGCCATGCCTCTCAAGAACCTCAAGAGTAAGATCCCAATCGCCTCTCAAGGCGGTGTGGGTCGGATCCGCGATGGGCTGCCCAATGACCTTCAATATCCCAACTGTTGCCTCGCTCAGGCCCTCGGCAAACTTGACATAAACCGAGGAAAGCGACAGACTGGAAACCCAGGACATCGATCAATACCTAAATCAAGCGATATGCACATATGCATCCTGTACCTTCAGCAGGCCATCGAAAACATACTGTCAAGCTGGCGGATACAGCAACCCATAAGGACAACCTTCCAGTGCCTGGATTGATGCGAGCAGGAATTGTCAAATAGTGCCATCCCAGCGCCCGAGCTGGTGCAGTGGCCTGGCCAACAAACTCATCGCTGATGCCGCCCTACTGCGCGAACAAAACCATGTCGTCAGTCTCAGCCAAAAGTCGGCGGAAGCTACTCCAAGCGACGCCGTTGAACGTTTCCAACACCACTGACACGCACTGTCTGCATTCGCCTGTCTACTGGGAGCCCCTGTCAGAGGCGGCGCGGGACAACCTGTGGCGGATAGTGGAACCCCCGATGGACGAGGGACTGGGAGACCAAACGTAGTGTCACCCACAATTTTGCTTGTCGGCCTGGGCCCCCATATCACGTAGAAGCTTATGGAAAGCCTGCTTCCGATCGTCCCCTTCCTTCCTGGCCGAGGAGGAGGAGGAGGAGGAGGAGGAGGAGGAGGAGGAGGAGGCGGCGAGAGAAGAGGCAACCCAACATACTCTCGATCACGGGCGCCGAACTCACCACGGGCGCGACGCAGGCGGCGCCGCTGCGGCGGGGCGCAGGCCCTCCGCCGTGGCTGCCCGTGTCGCGACTGCTGGCCCCTGCCTGGCGGCTGGGCGCCAGTTCAAATCACAGCTGCGGCCGCTCCGTACTCCACGTCGGCTGGCGCACCGTCCCAACAAATTAGAAAACGTGTGCGTTCACCCCGGCCGCACCAGCCTGCAAAACTTTCGAAAGACATCCGGAAGGAACAAGCGTAGACCAAGACATATTAAGGGACGAGGAGGAGGAGGAGGAGGAGGAGGAGGAGGAGGAGGAGGAGGAGGAGGAGAGGAGGAGGAGGAGGAGGAGGAGGAGGAGGAGGAGGAGGAGAGGAGGAGAGGAGGAGGAGGAGGAGGGAGGAGGAGGAGAGGAGGAGGAGGAGGAGGAGAGGAGGAGGAGGAGGAGGAGGAGGAGGAGGAGGAGGAGGAGGAGGAGGAGGAGGAGGAGGGAGCGGAGGGGGAGCAGGAGAAGGAGGAGGACAGGAATAGGAGGGAAATGGTCTGGTGGACGGGGGCTTAAAAAGGTTCTGGAGCCTGTTTGGGGATTCTGGGGCGGGATCGGAGGAGGAACGGGGAATGGTGCTACACGGGCCTTGCCCATGCCCCCAACAGGCCCAAAGAAGGTTCCAAGAGGCCCACCACACGCGATGCAACAGCCATGCAACAATACGACGTCCCAACGCTACAGGATAGTCGAGACGCTTCTCAGACGGCCGCGAGATACACCTCGGTAGAGCCCAAAGTGAAGCCACGTGGCGAGGTTTGCCGCAGGCAGCTGAACAATTCACGACGCGATTCGGAGGCCCTGCTGCCGCGAGGGACAGAGAGGCCACAGCCACAGGCCACCTGCGCTCTAGCCTCACCGCCCGAGTACCCAAGCACCAGATCGCGGGAGCCACTTGCTGCGAGGCAGGGATGTATCCATTCCCCACTGCCCGAGGAACCTGCCTCCTGGGAGCCATATCCATACCCGCCGCGTGCCGAGGTCCCCGAAGACCGATACCGCGTACGGTGGTTATATATAAATCCCAAACAGAGCCTGGAACCTCTGTTAGCCTTCATGAAGAAAGCTCGGGGGGGCGTGAGCACATCCCGAGGGAGCGGCCCAAGCTTCGTGCACCAAGTCTGCTGGCCCAGCCTTTCATTCAAAGAGGGACCTCGGCCCTTGGAAAGACTGGAATGCCAAGGGCGGCGCCTTCTGGGACTCATCCTATCCATCTTGTTTGCCCTGTATGTGCGCCACTCCCGTCGCAGACAGTCCTGATGGATACCAGCGCGGCGACGTGCTTCACACGGTCGACGCACCGCTGCACCTTCAGCTCGAGCTAGCCCACATGTCCGGGTGGCACGCCGCCAAGTCCTGCGACCGCGCGGGTGCGCTGTCTGTCCGATCTGGGAGGCCCTGACAGACCCTTTGGGCCGTAGCGTCGCTTGGGTGGCCCACCCCTTGGAAATTAGGCGGCAACTTAGGTTAAACCCCGATTAACCCAGACTAGGCCGGACCCACTGGAATCCATGTACCGGCGCCGATGCTGGATTCAATCTCCCAGGAGTTGCATCCTGACAAGCGTGGGCGTTGAGACTGGAGCGGCGGACTCTGGGCTGGAGCACTGCTCAGGCGCCCAATACCTGAAAAGACCCGCAACTCCGACTGGCTGCGACAGACGGGGGCGGGCGCAAACCCCGCCCCGTGCTGCAGGATCGTCCGACGCCGCGTCGGGGGAAAAGACGCACCACCCGAGAGGCTCGGAGCCGCAAGGCCTGAAAGCAGAAATCTGGAGCGACGATGCGGGGCACTGATATCACGCGTGCGCCTTTGCGGGGAGGTAGCGCCGCGGAGGCGGACACGGGAGGCCAAGAGGGTGCATACGAACCCAGACGTCACACGCGTGATGCAGATACGTAAGTGCGGTCGGGGGAAAGTGAGCGATACGTGAATACGTATGTACGTATACATGTACCAAACATACACAACAGTAGACGCATACAGTCTAAATCAGTAGAGATAGGACAACCATCGCTACCTGTACAGATACATATATATATATATATGAGTGTACAGATATGTACAGCTATGTGTTAGCCAGCGTGGACCCCCGACCAGCGACATGCAGTGTATGCAATCAATGTGGTGCAACCCATGTTGTGCAACCTAGGTGCTGCAGATAATACAAAGCAAAGCGATGCAAAACAATGCAACGCAAAGACATGCGATGGAAAGCAATGCGCGACAACGCAATGCAACGCAATGCAACGCAATTCGATGCAAAGCAATGCAAAGCAACGGGGCCGCCAGGCCAACAGACGGGCATTGCAACGGAAGAAATAATGCGGCGACGAAGGGGGACGGGGCGGCTGGGCCAACAGACGGGCCCTATTCCCCAGAAGACAATCGAGAACCCGTAAGTGCAAGCACTCGGAACACTATCTATATATATAGAGAGAGAGAGAGAGAGAGAGAGAGAAACCTTGAGCTAATTCACAGGACCTTGCGCAAATCCACAAACGCCAAGGTACCAAAGAAGCGGTTTCCAGGCAAGGGCCGCTGTTGGCACATAGAGGTGCTGGCTCTTCTATTCGGTGGGCGGTCGCGGAGCCGTGCGAGATCGAGGTGCGACGCGTCGAAAAGCTGGGAGAGAAAGGAAGAAAGGGGAGAGTGAGAGAAAACGAGAGAGAGAGAGTGCCTCTTACACAGGAGGAGGAGGAGGAGGAGGAGGAGGAGGGACGAGCAACGAACACTCCGAAGCTATCTTGGAGATTAATTGGGCGCCATTTTGGGTTCTCTAGCGGCCTTCCTGGTGCTCCAAGGTGCGCGCCAACTTGCGCACATGTGCACCCACTCATGCGCGCAGCTTAATTTTGCATCTACCCCTCCTTATGATATTTTGGTTGATCCCAAAGGGGGTCCAGCTGAAAGGGGGTGGTGCAATAGGTTTCGGGCCATTGTGTTGCACATGTACTGCGCCAGAAAATTGTGTTACATTCTATTGCAACTAGTGCATTCCCTAAATCGATTGCAACCCCACTAATATATATTTTTATATATATGTATATATGTATATATATATATATATATATCACCAAGCCTATTGCACCACCCCCTTGTCCCTAGACCCCCTTTTGGATCAACCAGAGATATCGTGAACCACCCCATCCACCCCCACCTCGACGCCATATCCCCCACACGCATGCACGCGCGCACCCTGGCTTTTAGGGGCAACTGCCTGGATGATGAACCCGGCCCCTTTAGGGCCACCGGGAGTCTAAAACTCTTCCTCCCCCGAGTTCCCCGAACCCGATCCGGAACTTCCCATGTGAGGGGGCGGTCCTAGCGCGCACACGCACAGACACACACACACACACGGATACGCACGCGCGCAGACACGCACAAGCACGCGCGCACTCGCGCACGCGCACAACAAGTATCATTGAACTACCCAGCCATCGGATGTCGCTGCCCCCTCCCACCCCCGCCCTCTCGACGCAACCCATATGCAAGCACACACACATACACACACGCACACACGCACGCACGTACCCCCCCCCCCACCACACACACACACATACACACAACCACACACACACACAAACACACGCACACGCGAAATCGCCCGCACACCCACACACGCGCACAGGCGCACAGACACAGACACAGACACAGACACAGACACACACACACACACACTCAAACTCTCTCACACACACACAAACACACACACACACACACACACGCGGACACACACACACACACACACACACACACACACGCGCAAACACACACACACAGACCCACACACGCGCGCATGCGCGCACTGCGCGCACGCGAGTACACACGCACACACCGCTGACATGGCTCGTGAGGAAGGAGGGTAGTGGACGCCTCTCGAGGCCGCGCGGCGTGATTATCAGGGGCCTCAGCAGGCCTCTGCAAGGCCTCTTGAAGGCCACTCGGCGCCTCTTGAGCCCCTTTTAGGCCAGTCCGAAGCTTCTCAAGGCTTCTTGGGAGCGTCCTTGGGGGCCTCCCGCACGGTCTTGGGGCCATGTTTGGAGTCACTGGGGCTCTCTTGTGGCCGTCTTGGGCGCCTCCTGGGCTGTCTTGGGGCCTCTTGGGTCGATCGTGGGGGCTCTTGGGCCGTCTTGGCGCCCTCTTGGGCCGATCTTAGGCGCTCTTGGGGCCCTCTAAGGCCGTCTTGGCGCCGTCTTCGGGGCTCTTGAGCCGGGGGCCTTCGAGGCTGTCGTGGGACCTGTGAAAACCCGAACAAAATCAAGAAACGAAGATGCGTACGTTTCCATCCGGGAATGGGACGATTTGGACCTCTGGAGGTCGTCTCGAGAGGTCTCTTAAATGCCTGCCCAGAGGACCGGGGCCGGGACATCCCAGATGTATGCAACTGTCTAAGTGTCGATATACACACATATATGCATATATGTATTTTCATACGCATCTTCACGAAGGAGTAGACCTCAGAGAAGATACATTGAAACTGGGTTTCTGTTTTGGCCGTTCAGCTCGGGACATCATCAACATTCTGAACATCGGACGCACCCCTCACGCAGATCGCGACATCACGGTCCAAACACCAGCCTTTTTCAACAATTGCAACAGAACGCTTTCAATATCACAATGAAACTCAATGATTTTGAATATGGTTCTTCGGACATTGCAGTTTCGCCTGAGACATCCTCCAACATCGAGCCCCTTTTCTCAATGCGATTCTTAGCAAAATGCAGTTTCCCCTGAGACATCCTCCGAAAATCGAGCCCCGACGTACAGCACACAGCACACACACACACGGAACATACACAGAACACACACACACAGAACACACACGCAGAACACACACACACGTACACACCACACACACACAACACACAGACACAACACACATAACACACAACACCTACAACACACAGAACACGCGCACAACACGAACACGCACACACGCACACACGCACACACGCACACACACACACAGACACACACACACACACACACACACACACACACACACACACACGCACGACACACAACACGCACACACACACACACATCACACACAACACACCCGACATAAGCAACACACACAACGCTCACACACTCAACATACCGAACACAACTAACATGCAGAACACACATGACCCACACATCGCTCACACATAGCACAAATAGCACACAACGAACGCACAACACGCATCACACATAACACAAACCTTACACGCCACACACACACACACACATCCTGCACATGTGCTGTATGAGCCAGGGCATGCACGTGCCTCTTGTGTATAGATTTAGTCCATTGGTCCACACGTATCCACCACCGTACGGGTTGGAATGTCCTCAACTCCCTGTGAATTATCCCTCTTGGCACGGTCAATATTCTTCAAGGGGGGCCACAGCCCAGAACTCCGGGCGCTCCCGGGCGCTCCCGGGGAGTGCTCGCGTGACTTCTCCAGGGGACAAGGGCGCTTTGCTCGGGGCATCGCATGTCCAACACGGCCTAAGACGGCTCCGCGGATCACTCTGGAGCCCTTTTGGGCGACTCCTGGGCCGTCTTGGAGGCCCTGAGTGGCGGCCCAGAAAGCCAAAATCGTCAACGCCAAATGTTTTTGTTGGGATATGGTTCCGCAGCACCGTTTTTCTTAGACTTCGCAGCGTCCTTGATGGCCCAAGAGGCGCCCAAGGTCGGCAAGAAAACAGCCAAAGAGCCCCCAAGAGGGGAGGTGTTACCAGAGACCGAGCACGCTGGCGAGCCAGAGACACAGACACATGGACAAGCAGGACCGCTGACAAACACCGGCGAGCGACAAACATTGACATCCTCCACCGCGGAGAAGTGTACGGAACTGCGGCGGTGGTGGTATGGTTCCCCCGCCCAGATCCCCTCCCGTACGGTTCCCTCGTGCGGCCCCGTCTCCTCCTATGGGTCCCTATTATGGTTCCCCCACTTGGTCTCCCCGTAGGGTCTACCCGTATGGCCCCCTCGCTGTGTCCCCTCAGATGGTCCTGGAGCAACGGTGCCCTTCGCACGCACACCTAGGACAATAGAATGTGGAGAAACCAAAATAGAGGGAGCCAAGGGGAGATGGCACGATTCATGACGGCGTGCAGGGGAGAGATGGAGGAACATGCAACTCGACAAGGAGAGAGAGGGCGATAATGATAGGGAAGCAGGGGGAGAGAAAGAGGGAGATAAAGAGAGAGGAAGCACATAAGAAATGTAACGAGAGAAAGGGTGATAACAAACAACTGAGGGATGGATCTATATATCTAGATATGTAAATATAAAACAGAGAGAGAGAGAGAGAGAGAGAGAAACGTCGAGTGAAGGAGACAAAGAGAGACAGACAGAGAGAGAAAGAAAGAGAGAGAGAGAGAGGAAGAAAGAGGCAGAGAGAGATAGAGACAGCGTGAAGCAAGTATCCATGACGCAGACGACGTGTGATGATATTGCGCAGCGGGGCAGACGGGATGGAACGAAGCGACCAAGGGATGGGCGGACGGGCGCAGCGAGGCCAGCGAGGCCGGCAGCCACGTGGACCCCCGAAAGTCTGGACCCCTTCCCCGGGACGGGCTCCGCATCCCGGGACGTCATGCTGACGTCAGCCGTACGGCCCTGGGGCCTGACGAGGGCCACTGGAGACCGTAGACGGCCAGGAGCCTCCCGCGGCGCGGAGAGGCCTGCGTGACGGGCATCGGCTGGTGGGGCAAAAACAATACCAATGACAACACCGTGTCACTGCAGACGAGCCACCCAGCTCCCAGACATCAGCGGCGGAAAAAGCCGCTGCCGGGCTCCCAGCGCCAGCGTGTCATTGATGCTCATTTCCTCTCCCGAATTCCTCAGATATCCGATGTAGATCACTTCAAGTTTTCATCCCGATTCGTTTCGTCCCGTGGCCTGGCGAGGCCGCAGGAAATCGAAAACGGTCCCAACCTCCCGCTCGTAATCTTTTAACGACGCAAGCAAGTCTGGGTGCCCTGCCTGTCCTGGAGATCCCAAAGGGTGGACAGACGCCCCCCCCCCAGGCCCCCCGCGCGCGGAAAGCGGGGCGAAACGCTCGCGAATTGCGCCGTGTCCTCGAGCTGCAGAACGCCGTTTCGCCTGCGCTGCCCACCCACCCACCCGCGCGCGACTGGGGCGGGTCGCGGGATAAGCAACCACACGTGAACCCTATGGCCCCACGGCGGGTTCGTGTCGTGACGACCCTGGCGTCGGTTTCTGACACCGCGTGGATCGCTCAACCTTGCGGTTTCTGACACCGCGTGGATTGCTCAACCTTGGACGATCGCCGGCTTTCGATCGCCAGATCGCACCATGTTGACCGATTCTGGAACACCAGCGGAGCTGAAACTTGAACGCCAGCGGCGGGGTCGCCGCCGCGTCGATTCGACACGAATCTTCCGTACCCGTGCAGGTCAGATTTCTGAGACGCTGGGTCGGGTCAAGAATCCGAAGGATGTCTGCAGCCAGGTGAACCCTGGCGGTGTCCGGTGACCGCGGCGTCGATTGGACCCGCAGTGGTAATCAGGGTTCCCGCGCGGTCGCGGACGGGGCCGAGAGGGGTGCATGATCCGACGCCACGCTGCTGTGCCCAGCCATCTCGTGGAGTCGGGTCCTCGTTCTCTCCTCTGCGCCGCGCGCCTCCCACCCCCTCCTGCATCACATTCCGCCTCACGCCTGCCGCCCCTCTCCTCCCCTGCCTGCCGCTGCCGCTGCTGCTGCTGCTGCTGCTGCTGCACGGCCTGCTCCGTGGTGCATGGCTGCTGCCCCGTCGCTGCTGCTGCAGCCGCTGCCAGGCGCTGCGGCTGATGTGCCCATCTGCTCGGCAACGCTGCCAAGCTTGCCGCGCCCATTCCGGCACACCCCTCACACCCTTCGTGCCCCAGAGGGAGCTCCAACCCTGGCCCCCGTTGGGGTGCCCGAGAGGGCGCTCCAACTAGCCCCTGCCAGCCAGGAAGACAACACAAGCTGAAGTCTGTGACCCACAGCTCGACCAGATCTGCCGATCAATTTGATTCAGTCTCCGAGTAAACCAACGCACCCTGTCCACAAACAGAACGGATGTACCAGCATGGACCCATAAATCCTATGCGAACGTGAAAGAGAACAGGACGGGAAAGCAGAATACATCCACGCTCACCAAATGGTCTGAAACAATTCCGTCGACGAATTGCTATACAAATCCTCAAGACGTACAAAATGACAGAGTCCCGCGTCTGGCCCTGATCAGGCCGAAGCGCCCGCCGAACTCAAGGATGAGCCGAAGGAACACCGCAGGAGCGGGGGGATTCGGCCCCCCCCGGCGCTTCCAGGCGCTCCCAGGCGCTCCCAAATGCTCCCAGGCGCTCCCAGGCGCTCCCGGCACGCTCCCAGGCGCTCCCCCCCCTCCCTCCCTCGCCCTCCCCTCAGGGGACTGCGACTATCACCAGCCCCTGTGACTCGGGGGGCTGCCGTGGCAAGCGCGACGGGGCCGCGTCTCGAAGGAACTGGGAGCCTGTTCGGAGACACTCGCTCCGTCAATGCGTCGCTGCTGCGTCGATTTTTTTTCGGATCTGAAAAGAATGTGATACGAGCATTTCCCCTGGCAGCGGTTGGAGACTGCATTTTTGAGTCACATGTGGTGGAACGCATGATGTAAGATAGAGTTTCAGATCGACATCATATTCACCATTTCTCTTGCATGCGCGTTCTCTTGCCGTACTGGTTCACGCCCTCCATCTCCGCTTGCGGAGCGAGCGGCCTCCAGGCCCCTCGACCGGACTTGACTTGACTTGAATCGAGCCTGGGCCGAACTAGAGTCGAACAGGTCCGTGAGGTGGGCCCCAGTCCCCCAAACGAGCATCTCAGAGGGAAGGCGCGGGCGGGCGAGGCCTGGTGTCGAACTCCTTGAACAGGGCCCGCAGCTTCATGCCCGTGATGGCCTCGTAGTCCAGGCAGAGGCGCAAGCGCAGGCCGCTGTCGAACTCGATCATGGCAAGTTTCCTGGGACCCAACCCCTCCCTCCTCGCCCTCGTCCTCGCCCCCCTCCTCCTCATTCCTCCTTCCTCCTTCGCCTCCTTCCTCCTCCTCCTCCTCCTCCTCCTCCTCCTCCTCCTCCTCCTCCTCCTCCTCCTCCCCCTCCCCTCTACACGGCGTCGCGGCCTTGCTCGCGCCCGCCGCTCGGACAGCGCGAAGGCCGGGAGTGGCCAACCAGGTCGGTCTGGGTCAGCGGCTGCGGCCCGTAGGCCAGACGGTTTTAGATGACCGGCGATGGCGGACGAACACCACACCCTTTCACGTCACAGCGCGGCAGAGGCAATCCACACGCGCGCTCGGGCGAGCCAGGTAACGGCATCGCGAATTGACCATTCCGAGCGAACAACACACACCCATTCACATAGAGGGGTCGGAGGGAGGAGGACTGGCTAATTATGGGTATGGGTGCGGATTGCCGGACCGAGGGGAGACTCCCGTTCAAGCGGGGACTCCCATCCGACACCACTCACCCATGGCCCTCTCCGTCCTCCCTATGGAGTGTGGGCGTGTGTTCTTCGTTCGTCAGAAGACGGCCAAGGCACCTCCCACCCCTCCATGAGGAAATCCCCCGCGCGTGCCTGCAATCGGCAAGTCTTTCGCGCAGCTGTGCCTCATCGGGTCGCGCTGCCGCGTTTGATTGCAATCGGATTGATTGCAATTTCTGGCGCGTTGTGAGCGAGCGTGTGCGCGGCCCCTTCGCTAAGACATGTGCGTTGCTTGTTTGACCGGTAGGTGTCAGAGACTCGCACAGTATAACGCATTTCTCTGCCGTCATCGACAAACGTGGACACGTTGTGGCACAATACCACTGTCCCAAAAACCAGGGACTCTCCCTGACGACATAGACGTTCGTAGAAGTCGATGGTTACCTATCAGAGCTCACTTGGTGTAATTGTGAGATAGCGTTGCAGACACAGTCAAGGCCGCTCTCGCAAATGGACGCCAAGTGGGCGGTCTCGGGCCAAGGGTTCCGCACTTTGCAAGTCGTGCCCCCCTTCTCGCGGTCCCTGCTTACGTAGCGCTATTGTATGCCTGCCGTAGCAGCGGGATAGGAGTTGGCATCAACGTAAAGGTAACGACTCGACTCGAAAAGCATCGACGCAAGGTGTGCATACCACGTTTTGGATCGCTCAGCCGCAGGCAGTTTCTGACGTATTGCCGTTTTTGGGATGGGGGGCCAAAGACGCTGCTCGCACCATGCTTCTTTCGGTGGTGCGACCAAGGGTGGATAAACATAATATGCAAATCAAGGAATACCCCCGAGGAAAAATACATTACACCTGAGAATACCCAATCAGTGGATGATTTGAAAGTTGATCTTATAAATCTTGAGATCGATTGTGAGATCGAGAAAGCAATCGATAGTGGAATCGATAGTGAGGGCGATTGTAAGGTCGATCGTGAGACCGAGAATGAAATCGACTCAATGAGATCGATAGTGAGATCGATCGCGAGATCGCTCGTGCGATCTCTAGTGAGCTCGCTTGTGAGATTGATAATGAGATCGATTGCGAGATCGATCGTGAAGTCGGTAATGAGATCGAAGGTGCAACCGATCAATAAGAAAATCGACCAAGAACCCCGGGACCCCGGGAACCTCGCCGTCCTCCGAAATCGGCCAAGAAACGGGAATCCGGGAACCGGGGAACCCGGAACCGGAAACCCGGGAACCCAGCCTGCCACCAAAATCGGCGGGGAACTTTCGCCAAATCTTTCAACTTCCGCTAGGGCCCCTTCAGTGCAAGTACTGACTGGGGAACAATGCAAGTCGGATCAGAGATGCCGGAACTCAGAGGTGGGTTTCAGGTCCCACTATACAGCCCCAGGAGCGCGAGCATGGAACTCCAAAGTTGTAATAGAGGTTTCGAGATGGGCCATGACGCCCTAAGACGGCCCAAGATGGCTTCAACCCCCAAGACGGCCCAAGATGGCCCCGAGGAGGGCCCCAGGATCTACCAATCACTAACTTTACACATGTTCTAAACGAAAAACTACCGTTCTCGGTTTCCATGCTTCCGACAACCAAAACTGGCCCAATATGCCCCCGAGATTGCTCCAAGATCCCAGCATCTCTCACAGGATGCTCAAGACGGCCCAAGAGGGCCCCAAGACGGCCAAATAACCACCCAAGACGGCCCAAGAGGCCCCCACGATGGCCTCCGAGACCGCCTGAAGGCACCCAAGACCCCAGATCCAAGAATCTCCCTCGAGATTGCTCCAAGATCCCAGAGGCTCCCACGGGATCAAGACGGCCCAAGGGGGCCCCAAGACGACCGAAGAACCCCCAAGACTGCCCAAGAGGCCCCCACGAGGGCCTCCGAGACCGCCAGCAGGGACCCAAGAGCTCCCCAGAGAGGTCTCCAATCCGCCGACCCCCGCTTGCCGGGGGTAAAACAGCGTGTGAGACGTGTGGCTGCCCCTACTGCCCATTTCCCCCGCCTCCAGGGCCTCAAACCTTTTTTTGTGGGGGTCCACCCACCATGTCCTCAACGCACCCTCGGGGCACTCAGAGCCTCGAAATCCAGCCTCCATCGCCTCCAAGATGACCCAAATGCCTCCAAGACGGCTCAAGAGAGGCGCCGACCCGAACGGACTCAAGAACACCCAAAATGGCCTCCAGACCGTCCAAGAGGCCTTAGACGCCTCAAGAGGGCCCCATGACAATTATCAAAAGGGCCCCAAGGAACAACTATGCTTGAATTTCCCAAGATCTGTTACGCCCCACAATCCGTAAAGGGGCCTAGGGACGGCCCAAAAGAGCCCCAGGTAGACCTAAGAGGCGGCCAAAATGCCACAAGAGGGCCCCAAGAGATGCCCAAGGCCAAAGAGGTTGGAACTCGCAGGGTCCCTTGGGATCCCTCCCCTACAACTTGGCCTCAAGATGCTCAACTCGGAGGCCGCCGGAGGCCGCCGGATGGCTGTAAAAAGAAACCAGGAACCCTAAGATGCTACACGAGGCCGCCACGGCGGCCTTCAAGAGACCCCCAAGAAGTCCCGCAACTGTCGTGGAGGAAGAAGGGCACAGATCAGCAACAACTACACGCGTGCAGCACGCTGGGAAATGGCAAACAGCACTTGCATAGTCGGAAGCTGCACATATCCTCTTCTGAGGGTCGTCGGAATGGCGCAAACCTCTTGAGCCAGCCTCCAAGATACCTCCGGGTGATCTTCCAAGAGAACCCTAGAGGCATCCAGCACGCCTCTGACCCACAAAGCAGGCACTGGCGGGACGCGCTGACGGAGATTCGGTCGGGGCGTGCTCCGTCGAGTGTTGCCTTGCAAGTAGTTGCCCTGACACTGTTTCTCCCCAAAGCGAGGCCCACTCGAGATCTCAAAGAAATGCCCGCCACCCAACACCTTCTCAGTCCCCGCGAGCACACATGCAAGTGCCAGCGACAGAATAGTTTGGGCCAGCGAGATAAGTGGTGCGATCGAACAATCATAACCTGTAAGACGAGGCACAAGAAGACGAGTGACACCAGCACCAGTAAAGCACGTAATTACTACAACTCAGGAGACGTCGCCTTGTCAACATTCTCCACGGCGGACATCCACAAGGATCTCGAAGGCGCCCCGGTCCTCCCCTAGGCGGCCCGCTGGCGGCCGGGTCCACACCCAGAGCCCTGGCTGGCGACGAGATGTTCAGGGTCGGAAGCTGTCGCCGCAGGGAGCACGCAGCGCGCGGACGCCCATCCCCGAGGTGCCAAAGCTCAACTTCCCCCTCTTCGGGGGGCGTCTTGAGCCGCGGTAGCCCCATACCTAGAAGAATAATAACTAATGCACATGCGCCGATCGTTGCCACCCTGAGCCCAGGACCCGTGCATACGCCCTCCTGGCTAAGCCAAAGAGGCATATGCACCGAGCCTGTGACCTGGGTGGGCCTGGAAGGGATCAGCACATGTGATACATGTCCACCCAATGTGTTGTTTCAATGCGGGGTGTCCGAAGGCCCGACCCTTCCTCCAGGGCCAATTTCTCGTCCAGGGTCGTTTCTCGGCCGGGGCCCGGCGAGGGCCCCCAGAGGCCGAAAACGGCCAGAAGCCTCCCGCCGTGACCTTTTCACCCGACCCGAACTTCGAGGCGCATCCAGCCGTGGCGACCAGGGCCTCCCGGGAGGCCCACTGACAGAGGCGACATCGAGGGACGGGCCGCGGCATCGCTGCCCGATTCCTCCTCGGAGGCCGGGGCTTCCCGGAGCCTGGCGCGCCCGAGGCCCCTCGGCGGTCCCGCTGCGGTTGCTGTCCAGCACCATGAACGCGAGCCGGGGCGAGCCGCACAGCCGCGCGAGCACGAAGACCAGGGCGGCGGAGCCGCGGTGCTCCTGCGCCACGCGGGGGGGCGGCCGAGCCGGGGGGCCCCGCGAGGCCCCGGGCCCCGGCCTCGGCCCGCACCGGGGCGGCACGCCGAGGGCTGGGCCGCGAGAGAGGGGGGGGGGTCCTCCAGGCTTCCGACGAGAGTCCGACGAGGCCTTCTCGCGGCTCGTCGGCCCGACGAGAGTCCGACGAGAGTCCGACGAGGAGCTGCTCCGGCCCTTCTGGGCGCTCTCTTCCGCGGCCGCGCCTCGGCGAGGGCGTTTCATGGTCCTGGGGGTGCCCAGGCCGTCCCCAGCGGCCGCCGGAGGCCCAGCGTGTGACACGCCCGTGTCGTTCGCATCACGAGCCAAGCGGGAAAGCGGTCGTGGAGCAGATCCGCCACCCAAATCGAGGGGGTGAAGGCCGATGCTGCACGGTGCAGCGCTGTACTGACCATGCCTAAGCAGCGACCCAAGAGCAGCACATCCCCTGCAGAGGCGCCAACCGCCCACGACGCCAGTGATCCTAGGCAAGAGTGGCCTTTGGTGTGTGGCTTTCGGGGGCCGCAGGGAGGCCAAACCCGAGCGCGCAAGGCGCTGCTATCGCATCGCATGCAGCTATCCTGCGACCCCAGTACACCCGCACCACAAGTCACTCCAACGAACGGTCACTCTTACGTGCGGCCGATCAGACGGCGGCTGGGCTTCTCAGAAGCCCTCTGGCCTGCTGAGAAGCCCTCTCCGGCTGGGCAGAGGGCCTGGAACACTGCTCAGACGTCCGGAGGCTTTCTGAGCCCCCTAAGAAGGCCCGCAGCCTCTGCGTTCCCCCCTGGGCGCGCCGCCGAGCAAAGCTGAGGGCGAGGTGAGCCGTACCCCCGACCGCAACTAGTCAAGTGTTTTGTTGGGGGGCAGGCTGTTCTTTCTCGAAGCCGAGTGCTCCGGCCATTTGGGCGGGCCAAGAGAACCCAATTGGCCCCAAGATGGCTCGAAGAAGCTACCCGAAGCCTCCAAATGCACCATTGTTGGTATCCCTGCTTCGATGTATGCATACTTACCTGCGCCCCTCTGCGGGAGAGCTCTCATGGGCATCATCTCTGGATGGGCTGATGGCGATATGCGAGGCGTCAAAACATGAAACATTGGGTTGGGGTCAGCGCGCGGAAACAGAAGGCCAAGGGGCGCCGTAGTCACACAAAACAAATCCGGGCGAAGGACCCAACCATATGCAAGTGTGACTGCCGCAGGGCAAGTGGAAACAAGGGGCGAACACCCGATGTAGCTACTAAGCGTGTGAGGGGTGACCGCAACGGGCGAGGCGCCACATGGCGGGCGTTGCCATTTGGGTCTCCGGTGCAGCTCCCTACGGGACTGTGGCAGACGTGAGGGGTGTGCCGAAATTGAAGCGGCGGCGCCATGCGGACGCTGCCGCCGGGGCCTTCGGTGGAGTTTCCTGTGGGATCCCGAAGCGTGTGGTGTGTGCGTGTGTGTGTGTGTGTGTGTGTGCGTGCCGGGCGCTGCCACTTGGGCCTCCGATAGAGCTCCCCATGGGGCCACAAAGCGTGTGTGTGTGTGTGTGTGTGCCAAAATTTGGGCGGTGGCGCCATGCGGGCGGTTACATTCGGGCCTCCGGTGGAGATCCCATGGGGCCACGGAACGTGCGAGGGGTGTGCCAAAATGGGGCGTGGCCGCTAAGCGGGCGGTGCCATTCGGGCCTTCGGTGGAGATCCCCATGGGGCCACCGAACGTGCGAGGGGTGTGCCGAAATGGTTGACATGCGGGGGGCAGAGGCAGGGATGGGAGGAGGGAGGAGGGGGAGGAGAAGAGCAGAGGAGAAGACGCGGGGCGCTTCTGATTCAAAGCGAGGACCCAACACCACAGGATGGTAGGGGGAAGCAATTGACTGCAGCGGGGGGACAGGTCGACAGCCGCTCCAGAGTCAAGTCGAAGATGTTTCCGGCAGCCGCAATTTGAAAAACCTTTGCATGCAATCCACAATCATCCTCCTGACATCCTTCGCGTTCGGCGGAAACCAGAAGGGGCAGCCAGCCCAGCAGATAGACACGCAGCGTGGTACGTGTTGGCCGTGGACCGGACAGTCTCGCCCCTCGCTGCTGCCTGCAAGTCCACCTCTGTCCTCTCCACCATGAGAGTGAGAGAGAGAGAGAGAGAGAGAGAGAGCGAACGACAAAGTGAGCGAGAGTGCACACATATATATATATATATAGATATATATATATATATATATAGATATGTTCATGCCAATGTACATACACAGAGAGAGAGGGACAGAGGAGGGAAGAGCACATCTATACATATATACATATATATAAAGAGAAAGAGAGAGAGTGGAGAAAGACAGATAGGGAGAGAGAGAGAGAGAGGTAGAGAGAGAGGGACAGGCAGACAGACAGACAGACAGACAGACAGACAGACAGACAGGCAGGCAGACAGGCAGGCAGGCAGACAGACAGAGAGACAGCCACGAACAGACAGACATAGTCATTGCGAGCGCGCCTGAGAGACAAAATGTGTGCAAGAGAAAGATAGAGAGAGAGAGATAGAGAAAGAGAGAGAGAGAGAGAGACAGAGAGAAAGAGAGAGAGAAAGTGAGAGAGAGAGAGAGAGAGACAGAGGCGGGGGGGGGGAGAGGCTCAGCGTCGGAATGCAGGTGACTCTATCGCTTGAAATGCAACTCGGCTGCATGGAGGGCCCCCGCGCCGATCGTGAGGGCTTCGGAGGGGTCGGAAAATCGAAACTCTGGGCCACGGCGACTAAGGTCGCAGTGTAACACTCGGTGGAAATGGAACTGTGTGACGATATACTTCAAGTGCGAGGGCTCCGAGGCTCGCAATCCAAACTTTCTGCTGGGGACGCGTTCGAACGGGTCGTGGAGAACGTCCGCGAGTGCGAAATTGAAGCCATGGCACCAACCACAGTAATGCGACAGGCAGTCTCGGGCCCCTACACAGCCGAGCCGAGCAGTCCCACTGCGGATTACTCATCCTCCCCGCCGCGAACCACCCACCCACCCAAATTTTCATAGCTGCAAACCTCCACGAGGCTGCTGGGGGGGAACGGAAGAGACCGACAGAGAGATCGAGAGAGGAGGGAGACGAGGAAAGCGAGACAGAGAGAGAGGGCGAATTGTGATACATATAGAAAGAGAGAGAGAGAGAGAGAGAGAGAGAAAGAGAGAAAGAGAGAGAGAGAGAGAGACAGAAAAAGAGAGAGAGAGAGAGAACGAGAAAGAGAGAGAGAGAACGAAAAAGGGAGAAAGAGATCGACAGAGCTAGTCCGAACGGGCCGGGCCCATAAACCAAGCCAAGGGAATCAGCACGCGTCGCAGGCACGGCCGACTCCGTCTGCCACAGGTCGCGCAGGGCGCGGTCGGCCGCGGAGCGCAGGCTCACCTCGGCAGGGAGGCAAGGGAGTGACGGCGACGTCAGGGAAGCACCCCCTCGGTCCCCTTCCTCCCTCGCCCTTCGAGTATAAGATTGGACGCATAAGGACCTTCTAATACCGTGTGTCATCATTGGAGGCGTGCGTCCGACCACATCTTATAATGCAAAGATCTCGGTCTGGCCAGAAAACTCCCGCCACCGAGCATATTTCCCAAACGGTGCTTGCACTGAGCGTGTTTCAAGCATCTGGGGAACAATGCTGGCTTTTCGTCGCCGTGCCGCCCGTTGCCGCCGTCGCCGCCGCTCGGGGCGAGTTGCAGTTTTTGCGGGCGGTGCCGCCCGTCGACGCCGTCGGCGCCGTCGCCGTCGCCGCACGCCGCCGCCGTCGCCGTCGCATCGGTCATTTTTCCTTCAAATAAAAACTTAGGCTCTAAGACCTTTCCCCACCCCGGATTTGACGGTTCACACTCTTTGTCGTATGGCAGTTTACATGCGATTCGCCGCCGTTGCCCTTCCTAAATATGAATTCGTAACATAACAACCCAGCTTGTATCGAACCCACCCCCGCAATCCCCAGCAAACAACACTATGCGCGCGCACTCGTTTGCCACAAAACAGCAGTTGACAAAATCCCTTGCAAAATACGAGACGGAGTGCACACGCGCGCGCCGTCGCGCGCGCACGCCGAAATCATTCAAAACCCTCAGATTGCGCAAGGGATTCAAAATCTAATGCCCAACCAGCACATAAACAAACAAGTTTCGCAACGCGGGCTTTCGAAACACAGGTTGCGCGCGCGCTCTTGCGAATTTTGAACAGAACCACAGGCTTAAACATTTCCATAAAATGATACCAAGCGGGTTTCGCTCGCGCGCGTGTGTCGAAATCGTTTGAACGCCCTTGCGCGCGCGCTGTCCCGAACAATTGTGGCAACAGGTGTGGCGAAGTGCAAGCGCGCGCGTCGTCGCGCGCGCGCATGCCAGAATCCGTCAAAAACGCTGGGTGTCGCAAGGATGTCAAGACCGAACGTCCCGACACCATATACCACGCATGGTTTCGCAACATCAGTTTTCAAATCAGTTTGAGCTCGCGTTCTTGCGAATTCATATGTAAACCATAGCTTCCTTTTGTTTTACATTGCCATGGAATTGTGCCAAGCGGGCCTCTCGCGCCGCATGCCGAAATCATTCGCGCGCATTTGCGCGCGCGCTGGGCGGGGGGGGGGGGGGCACCGCCCGTTATAAATGATACCATGCGGGCCACTCTCGCGCGACGGCCGCGCGCGCATGTAGAACTCTTTCCAAAACCTTCGTCAACGATCAGGGGGCGCCGATATCGTCGTCTGCGTGATCAGCATCGGCGCCGTCTTTGGCCATGCCGTCGTCGGTGTCCAAATCGCCACCAGCATCGCTACTATCATCATCGCGTCAACCGTTGCCAACGTTGCCATGATACCGCGCCCGCCCAAATCGCCCATTCGCACTGAAGTGCCCGCTGGGATGTGCCCAGCGGTCAGCGCCACCGCGTTCGCGTCGGCCGCGACAAACTAGCTGGCCGCTGCGCGCGCGCATGCGCGGGCTGGCGTGGCCGCAGAGATGCACCAGCCAGCGCCAAGAACTCATCGAAATCGCCGCCGCATGGGTTTTGCAAACCAAGTTGCGGGCGGGTGGGTGGGATGTTCGCAGGAGCGTGGAATGTGTCAGCTCGTCTCGTTGGTGCACATCAAGTGTACCACATAGAATCTCCTTTCACTGCATGGAACAGATTCTATCCCCCACCACCCCACCCCACCCCACACCTCGGGATTGACGGCCCCCTTTTCCTGTGGCAATGTACTTGTGGTTCTGCATCATCGTTCATGCTGAATATGAATTCATACCATCCCAGCAGAGCCGGTATCCGCCCCCCCCCCGCCACTCCCTGCAAACTATGATATGTGCGCACACGTTTATCAAAATTCCACAGCTTTCAAGAATCCATTGCAACGCAGGAAACGAAGTGCACGCGCGCGTCGTCGCCCGCGCATGCTGGAATCCTTCAAAATCCCTCGGCGTCGCACGGGACTCAAAATCGAGCGCCCAACCAATAAATCAAACACGTGGCTTCGGAACGCGTTGTGTGTATATATATACATATATAGATATATGCGTTGAAGAAAACCAAAAAACAATAACAAACAAAAAACGCGCGCCATTGCAAATTGCCCAGAAAACCAAACTTTTTCAACATTATCGTAAAAATGCTACCAATCGGGCTTCGCGCGCGCATGTCGAAATCGCTCGTCGCTCGAACGCCCTTGCGCGCGTGCTGTCGTGAGAACCCTTCGCGAACGGTGGGGCGCAGTGCGCGCGCGTGCGTCCTTCGCAACATCTGTGTTTTTGAAAAAAGCTTGCGCTCGCGCTCTTGCAAATTCAAAAATAAACCATTGGCTTTTCAACATGTTCATCGAATTGTTCGAAACGGGCCTCTCGCGAAGCATGCCGAAATCATTCGCGCACCCATGCGCGCGCGCCGGGTGGGCGCGGTCCGCGTCAAATAATACCGCGCGGGCCACTCTCGCGCGTCGGCCGCGCGTGCATGTCGAACTCTCCCCCGAACCGTCATCGCCGACGCGAAAACGCCGTCATCGTCGTCGGCGATCAACACCTGTGCCGTCGCTGGCAGCGCCGTCGTCGCTGCCGGCATCGTCGCCAGCAGCGCCACTATCAAAATCGCGTCTACCGCCGTCGACGTTGCGCCCGCCCAAGTCGCCCACTCGCACTGAAGTGCCCGCTGGGATGCGCCCGGCGGTCAGCGCCGCCGCGTTCGCGTCGGTCGCGACAAACTAGCTGGCCGCTGCGCGCTTGGGTCGGCGCGGCTGCAGAGATGCGCCAGCCAACGCCATGAGTGCATCGCAATCATCGCCACCGCGTGGGTTTTGCAAACCAGGTTGCCGGCGGGTGGGCGGGACGTTTGCAGCGGCATGGAGTTTGCCAGCTCGCGCGTGAAAATCAGCTGCAACACATGCAGTGCACCGCGCGCGCTGCATTGCATTTCGCAAGTAGCACCGCGTGGATTCTCCCTCCCTCTTTTTTTAATATAAAAAACCCTGCCCGCGCCCCCGAGATTATCGGCGCCCCTTTTTCGCGTTGCAAATTGCGTGCGGCTCTGCCCCGTCGTCTATCCCAAGTATGAACTCATGCCATCCCAGCCAGGCTGGCATCGCCCCCCCCTCGTCCTCTGCCACAATAAATATGCGCGCGCACTCGCGCATCAAAATCCATCAGTTTTCAGGGATCCCTGCCAGAAGAAGACGAAGTGCACGCGAGCGCGTGGTTGCGCGCGCACGCCGAAATCATTCGAAAACCTTAGGTTTCGCAAGGGTTTCAAAATCGAGCGACCAAAATACAAATGAAACCACATGAGGTCGCAACAGGGGTCTGCAACAGAAGCTTATGCGCACGCTCCTGCGAGTTTAATAACGCCATGATTTCTATGTTTGCAATGGTTTTATATACAACAAACAAAACATGTCTATAACATGCTGCCACAGGGGCTACGCGCGCGCGTCGAAATCGCTCGAACGCCCTCGCGCGCGCGCAGTCGCGAGAAATCTTTGCAACAAAAAAAAAAAACGAAGTGCACGCGCGCGCGTTGTCGAGCGCGCGTGCCGAAATCCGTCAAATACCTGCGTTGTCGCACCGATGTCAAAACTGAGTCTCCAAACAGCACGCGCGCATACAGTTCCACAACGTCCGTTTTCAAGCAAGCGCGCGCTCGCACTTGCAGAATCTTTGAAGAAAACATCGGTTTCAACATGAACATGGAATTCTGCCAACAGGGCCTCTCGCGCCGCACGCCGACATCGTTCGCGCGCCCGCGCGCGCGCGTGCTGGGGGGGGGGGGGGCGATCCGCGTCAAATGACACCGCGCGGGCCACTCTCGCGCGTCGGCCGCGCGCGCATGCCGAACTCATTCCAAAATCTCCACCGCCGCCGCGAGGACACCGTCGTCGTCGCCGGCGCGATCTGCATCGGCACCGTCGCTGGCCGCGCCTTCGTCGTTACCAACGTCGCCCCCAGCATCGCTATCATAATCGTGTCTATCGTTGTCAACATTGCCGTGATACCGCGCCTGCCCAAGTCACCCGCTCGCGCTGAAGTGCCCGCTGGGGCGCGCCTAGCGGTCAGCGCCGCCGCGGCCGCGTCGGTCGCGCCAAACTACCTGGCCGCTGCGCCCGCGCGCTTGGGTTGGCGCGGCCGCAGGGATGTACCAGCCAACGCCATACATGCATCGCAATCGCCGCCGCATGGGTTTTGCACGCCAAGTCGTGGGTGGGTGGGTGGGATGTTTGCCGGGGCATGGGCTGCGTCAGCTCGTTTTGTTAACAATTCTCCGTTCTTAAAGAAGAATGGGTTCTGCCGCCCTTCCCCCCCAAGATTAAATCTTCACTTTTTCGTGTAACAATTTGCGTATGATTCTGCCCCGTCGCCCGTCCTAGCTGTGAGTTCATACTATCCCAGCCCAACCGGCATCGCCCCCCCCCCCGCCTCTCCAAAACATACAACGCGAACCACTCGTTTATCATGAACCAGAAATTTTCAAACATGCCTTGCCAAAAATTGGACGAAGCGCACGCGCGCGTCGTCGCGCGCGCATGCCGCAATCCTTCAAAACCTTCGGTTACGGAAGATGTGTTTAATCGGGTGTCCAATTCAACATTGGAAGAAACCGAGGTTTCGCAATGCGGATTTCAAGAATAGCTTGCGCGCTCCTGCGAACTCTTGCGGGAAGCCATAAGTTTCCCAACATCTTCCAAACATGCTACCAAACGGGCTTCGCGTGCGCGCGTGTCGAAATCGTGCGGACGCCATTGCGCGCGTGCTGGGGTTGCACGATCCGTGTCAAATAACACTATGCGGGCCACTCTCGCGCGTCTGCCGCGCGCGCATTTCGAACTCCTCCCAAAAACTGCATTTCCGACGCGAAGACGCCGTCATCGTCGTCGGCGTGATCAGCATCGGCGCCGTCACTAGCTGCCCCGTCGTCGCTGTCAGCATCGTCACCAGCATCGCTACTATCATCATCGTGTCTACCGTGGTCGTCGTTGCCATGATACTCCGCCCGCCCAAGTCGCCGACTCGCACTGAAGCGCCCGCTGGAATGTGCCGAGCGACAGCGCCATCGCTGTCGCGTCGGTTGCGCCAAACTAGCTGGCCGCTGTGCGCGCGAGCATGCGCGGCCGCAGGAATGCACCAGCCAACGCCAAGCACTCATCGCAATGGCTTCCGTTTGGAGTTTGCAGACCAAGTTGCGGGTGGGTGGGCGGGGTGTTTGCGCGAGCAGTGGAGTGGACCATTGCAAGTTGAGCAAACGATTGATTCTCCTTTCTAATGAAAAAATCTACCACCCTCCCCCCCCCGGGGTAAAGACCCCCCGGAACCGATGCAAAACACATCGGATTCTTACCAAATGTCAATCCTGTCTGTGAGTATCCCAGCCCAACCGGTATCGCCCCCCCCCGCCATCCTCTGCACAAGTATGTATGTCGCACACTCGTGTATAAAAAATTCATATGTTTCCAAATAACCCTTGCGCACGCGCGCGTCGTCGCGCGCGCATGCCGAAATCCTTCGGTTTACGAAGGCTTTCAAAATCGAGTGTCAAAAGAAACATACACAAACAAATTGCTGTTCAACACTGGTTGTCTAAAAACGCTTACGTGCGCGCTCTTGCGAAAACTCAAAAAACCATAGGTTTTCAATATTTTCACAAACTATACTACCAAACGGGCTTTGCGCGCGCATGTCAAAATCTTTCGAACGCACTTGCGCGCGTGCCGTCGCGAGAATGTTCTGCAAGAAATTGGACGAAGTGCCCGCGCGCGCGTCGTCGCGCGCGCATGTCAAATTCCTTGAAAACAAATTAGTTTCCGGAGGAATCTCAAAATGGAGTGTCCAGAAAACATATAAAAACACACGGTCTCGCAACGCGGATTTTCAACAAAAGCGTACGAACGCGCTCTTGCGTCGTCGTCGTCGTCCTCCCTCCCCCCTCGTCGTCGTCGTCGTCGTCGTCGCCGTCGTCGTCCGCTGTCTTTCCTCGTCGTCTTCGTCGTCGTTGTCGTCCTCTTTGGCGTCGTCGTCGTATCCGTCGTCGTTGTCGCCGTGGTCGTTCTTCCTCCTCCCTCGTCGTCGTCGTCCGTCGTCGGCGTCTCGTCGTCGTCCCTCCTACTTCATCGCCGTCGTCGTCATCGTCGTCGTGTTCCCTCCTCCCTCGTCGTTGTCGTCGTCGGCATCGCCGTCCTCCCTCCTTCTTCGTCGTTCGCGTCGTCGCCGTCCTCCCTCCTCCCTCGTCGTTGTCGTCGTTGTCCCCGTCGTTGTCTTCCCCCCTCCCTCGTCGTCGTCGTCTTCGTTGGCGACGTCGCCGTCGTCGTCGTCATCGTCCTCGTCGTCGTCGTCATCGTCGTCGTCGTCGTTGCCGTCGTCGTCAAAGTCGTTGGAGACGTCGTCGGTGTCGTTGCAGTCGCTGTCGGCGGCGTCGTCGTCGTCTTTGTCGCTGTCGTCGTCGGTGTCGTTGCCAAGTGCCATTTGGTACCTCCCGTCACGGTCTTAAGAGGTCTTGCGACCAAGTTGCGGGTGGGAGGGTGGGACGTTTGCACGAGCAGTGGAGAGGACAGCTTCAAGACCGAAAGCCCCAGTGGCAGGGTTCGCATGGCGGCAAGGCCCCGTTGTGGAGCATCCCTCACACGGTTCGTGGCCCCATAGCGAGCTCCACCGAAGGCCCCGGTGGCAGGGTTCGCATGGCGACCCCGCCCCATTTTGGCGCATCCCTCACACGGTCCGTGGCCCCACAGGGAGCTCCACCGAAGGCCCCAGTGGCAGGGTTCGCATGGCGTCCCCGCCCCATTTTGGCGCACCCCTCACACGGTTCGTGGCCCCATTGGGAATTCCCCTTGATTCGTCCCACATGCCCTGCGGTTCTCACACTTGCGTATGGTCGTGTCCCTCGCTAGGATAATTCTCATTCGTGTTATTAGTGCTATTATTATGAATAATTATTCGTGTCATCAGATTGTTATGGGTGCTATTCGTAGTCTTAACCATACTATGTATGATCGTAGTATCAGTGCTAATCTTATTACTGATATTAATATAATGCATAGAAATACCATACTACTAATTATGTTTGAAAGAATGTGTGCTACTAGTGTGTGTATATAGCTGTGGCTGTGTATATGTATTATCATACGTGTACGTAAATGTATATTTATATAAATATAAAATAAGACAAGTCATGGGGTACCTCGAATAAGGCCTTCTTCTTTAACCGCATGCCGATGATAATAAAGGGACCCCCCCTTCAGTGTTTAGAGTTGATTATCGTCGCCCTATACAAAATTCAAATTGGGCGGCGAGCGCTGAGGCCGAACTTCATTATCACCTCGAAACGCTATGTTGAGATAGCAACATCAAGCGATGTTGATATAGCAACATCAAGCGAAGCGATCACACTTTTTCAGGATGTGTCAAGCGAAACCAATAATTTTGGGAGGCAGACTCAAACGAAACGAGCAATGTTCTTATTATTATTCTACTTTCCTCTTCTTCTTTTATATTTCTATCTGTCCTCACGCTCGCCTGAACTTTTTTATCCCTGGGGTTGATTATCCATGGAAAATGAAGCACATGAGCTACCCTACACGAGCACTTAAAAACATCAATTTTCATAAAGCGTTTGTCAATTAAAATTGATAGATTTGGAACTTTGGATTTTTCCTTTCTTCGTCCTCTTCTTATTATCCTCTTCTTCTTATTTCTTATTATTCTTCTACTGTACTCTTCTTTTAAATTTCTCTCTGTCCCCACGCTCGCCTGAACTTTTTTATCTCTGGGTTTGATTATCCATGGAAATTGAGGCACATGAGCTACCCTACACGAGCACTTACAAAAAACAATTTTCATGAGAGATAAGCCATTGTTGAGGATATTTCTATGAAAACTAAACGCCAAGGATGTCTCAAAACGTGCTCGGCTTGGTCTCCTCTTGATCATCTCTTACTTCGAGATTATGCTGAGGTCTGCTGGGCTACTTTTATTATCTCTCCCTGAACCCCGAACTTTATTATCCCCTAGTGTTTATTCTCACGGGCATGAGGTTATTTGTGCTTTGCGACAGAAGCCCTCCTCGAGGTAACCCGTATTCCGCGAGCTCGCTCGCGGGATTCGGGACCTGCAGCCGCTTCTCCAGCTGCGCGATGCGCGCCTCGGCGGCGGAGCGGAGCGCCATCAGCTGCCCGCAGTCCTGGCGGGGGGGGAGGGGGGGGGAAGCGTAAGGGAGGGAGCGGGAGACTGACGCAGTTCGCGCCGAAGCGTCGCGCTGCGAGCACAAGGACGAGGGGGACGTGGGGGGGATGGGCAAACAATGGGAGGCGGATCAGTGGGGGGTGGGGGGGGGGGGGAATGATGCAGTTCGCGCCTCAGCGTCGCGGTGCGGGCGCAAGGGAGGGGTGGATGTATGTGGGAAGGGCCAACAAGAGGGGGCCGGCGAAAGGGAGGGAGCGGGAGACTGACGCAGTTCGCGCCTCAGCGTCACGGTGCGAGCGCAAGGGAGGGGGGGACGTGTATGGAGGCATGGCTAACAAGATGGGGCGGGCGGAAGAGAGGTAGGGGCGAGGACTGACGCAGTTCGCGCCTCAGCGTTGCTGTGCAGGCGCAAGGGAAGGGACCTTCTGGACTCAACACTTGTAGCATGCCGTCCTAAAGAGAAGGGGGGGAGGAGGGGGGGAAAGGCTGAGGTGGGGAAGGGGTGATCGGGGCGAGGAGGAGGGACATGATGGGAAACCAAAAAGGATGGGCCTGGGAGGGGACCCACAAAGAAAGACAACGGGAGAACTCTTGCCACGCGGCCCACATGCGCCAAAGGCGCCCAAACCCCAATCCGACAGTAAGTAAGCGATCGCCGGAAACCCCAGGAGGCGAGCCAAGCCCAGAGCAACCCAAAGAGACGGAGGGGAAGGAGGAAGGGAGAGGCGGTGGACAAGCATGAGAACGAGAAGGAACGAGCACATGTACTGCAACGCGAGGGCATGGGGCGACGAGGTCTTGCGTATGCGCTGCCGCTGACCAGGATCATCCTGGGCCCAGGATGGGCCTGGCCAGCGGCGGTGGGATATGTATAGATCTCGTCGCCCTACGGCACGGGCACCTTCAGCGTGGCGAAACGAAGCAGCGCGGGAGGAACCAACGCAGAACAGTGTCGCCCGTGTCCGCGCACAAAGGGCTGCCAGCTGCCGCGCCAAGGAACACACACCAGCACTCAAGTTGTTTCGCGCATCCTGAGTTGGGTTCTTCTTTTCCTAGAACGTCCTACGGTCGGGATTCTTTGCTTAGCGTGTCGCGGCGGTGGCCCATGCGGCACGCTATGCCCTGCAAGCGGGTATCGTGCCCCTCCGCTCAGCGGAGCGGGAAGCTTCGAGAGGCACAGAACGTTGACGTTCGGGGGCCATGACGTTGTTAACGTGTCGCGCCGAAGCAAGGTGTGCCAGAACCTGCGGCGCAACACGCTTAGCCAAAGTTGATGACCGCATCATCCTCCTCTTTCCCTCCTCCTGCAAGCACTTTCGACTGCATGCGCTTCCCACTCCATCAGTCCCACTCTCCCTCGTCATGGCCTCATCCTGCGAGTTCAATTCAAGGTCACAAGTCCACTGGTAGGATTACCACCACCACCGCCACTCCCACCACTCCGCCACCACTTCACCAACCCGCTCCATCACTCCGACTAGAACACTAGATGTTTAAGGATTCGTGCCCCTCCTTACTCCGCTTGCCGCTCTAGAGAGGCCGAGCCTGACCGCGGCAGGCATCTGAAACGTCATTATTCCCAAGGGATCGTGCCCCCAGTGTGCCCGCCAACCAGTGAAGACGTAGAGAACTCCGATTGTATTTTTGTTTTTTCGGCGCGCACGGCAAGCACACCCACGATCACCCGGGACCGCGCAGACCATGCAGAGTGGAGAAAGAGGCGCGCCGACCATGCAGAGTGGAGAGAGAGAGAGAGGGAGTACAGAGACAGAGAGGAAGAGAGAGAGAGAGAGAGAGAAATAAAGAAAGAGACAGAGAGACAGAGATGGAGAGAGCGACAGAGAGAGAGAGAGAGAGATGGACAGATGTAGAAAGAGAGAGAGAGAGGGGGAACAAAAAAGGAATGATGAAATAAAGAAAGAGAGAGAGAGAGAGAGAGAGAGAGAGAGAGAAAAAAAAAAAGAGGGAACCAAAAAGAGGGAGTCTGAACTGCTTGGGGCCCCAGGACATCGGCCATGAGGGGGGATGAAGCCATATCCATTCAAGATCGGTCCCCAAACCCCTCCAAGGGTCCATTTGGTGCAAATGTTTCGCGCTGGATCCATTCCTGACCGTCCCGGTTCCGAAAACGGACCCCGAAGCAGAAAAATGCAAAAACCCTCTCGAACCCAAACCCTCGAACCTGCCCCCCCCCCACCCTCCTTCCTGCTGGCAGGAAGCAGTGCTAGGCCACCTCAGACCCCCAGGCGGATCCAAAGAGAGAGAGAGAGAGAGTGATAGAGAGAGAGGGAGAGAGGGAGAGAGATTGATCCATGGACAGATCGATCGCTAGAGACACGTATGTATGTACGTATATATGTGGAGAGAAAGAGAGAGAGAGAGGGAGAACACAAACAAAAATAAACAGAGAGGAAGAGAGCAGGGGCGAGGGCAGCGGAGAGGACAGAGAGCAGCGAGAGAACCGTCAGCGGCGCAGGCCCTGCGGCGCTGCCGGAACTGCCGCGGCCCTCGCCTCGACGAGGCCCCGCGGCGCTGCGGGAGCTGCCGCGGCCCTCGCCTCGCCGAGAGCCCGCGGGCCGCGCTGCTGCAGCGGCAGCGGCGGCGGCTCGACACCCCCTGCTGGGCAGGAGCAGACGCCTCCCACACGGGGTCCGCGCTAAGTTTAGGTCGGGCCTGTCCCCCTACAAGGGGGTTTTGCAGCACAAATTACAAAGACCCCCAACATATTCGAAACACGCTCAAACATAGTCCAGACATCGTCCCCAGGCTACTTTTTCAAAACTATGCTTGGATATTCCTCCTGTAGAGGGACAGGCCCGACTCAACGTTAAGCAGAAGGTGGCGGTGGATCTCGCTGCATCGCCGATGCACCGGCGATGCATCGGCGACGTCGGCGATGCATCGCCGCCGCCGGCGTGGCGAAAATCGGGCTCCGCACCGAGCCGCTTCGCTGGAGCATCGGCACTGCGGCGCGATCCTCCGACCCCATCTTCTCGGACCTCATCTGGAAGGCCCGGGATGGAGGAGACGGGTCCGGAAGGGGATCGGTCCTGGACTCCAGCGGCCTCCGCCCAGGACAAGCTCGTCATCCCGAGCCGTCCTGCTGACAGTGCTGGGGCCTGGGGCGGGCCCCGAGGGGTCCAGGAACAGCTGACAAAACCGAAGACTCGCTCCCTGACGTCCACCACTGTGACGTTCTCAATCCGCGGACCCAGAAGTCCCGCCCCCTCCCCTGGGCCCCTTTTCCGCTCCAGATCCGTGCTTGATGGCCCCAGAGCCCGACGACGAGCCCCAGAGGCAGAATTCGACGGCACACGTCCGGATTGAAACTCATCGCACACAGACACGCGAGATCCTGATGTTTTCAGTGCGGGGTCCCCGAAGTCCGACCCTTTTTCCCGGAGCGTGGTGGCGGCGCGGCCCTGGGCCTCGCAGACTGGGCGTGGACCTCGGGCCCGCCCTGGGCGTGCGCGTGCGCACGACGACTGCCGAATGAGACTGGGCGAGCGTTGCTCCCATCCCTCCTCGATTGGCGCCCGATCCTCCTCCTCCTCCTCCTCGATCCAGACAGTGTTTCTCCTCCTCCTCCTCCTCCTCCCCCTTCTTGACATCCCGTTTTGCCCCGCGAGGGCCCCCGGAGACGGAAGGCTGTCTGGCCGTTTTCGGCATCATGGGGGCCCTCGTCGGGCCCTGGGACCGTCGAAGAACGACCCAGGATGGACTACCTACCAGACCACCTACCACCCCAACCCGAAGACCCGAATTTCGGGTTGGGGGGGGTAAGGGTTCCACATGTGTTTTTTCTATGTTTCCCGCCCCCTCCCCCCACTGGAAATCGAGGGTAAATCTGAGCCTTCGGGTTGGGTTGGGGTGGTTTGGTGGGTGGTGAAGGATGGACAACTGGCCCCAGGGCACGGGAAACCAGGAAGCAAACCCACCAGATTTGTCGTCGAGCTTCGAATGGTCGAGGCATCGAAGATCGATGTCTTTGGGACGTCTGTCGGCATCGAAGGAGGTGCTTCGTCGCTGGATCCGCGTCGAAATTCACGCACCCAGGGACGGGTCCAGCCAGGGGCCGATTTTTTACACGCGGGCCTGTGGGCATGATGGCGTCGTGGTAAAAACCGCGACGCAAGTTTTTTTGTTTGCACGACGCAGCATGTTTGGGTTCTGCTTCGTGGCGACCTGTCCTCGGGTGCGCTCTGGCCAGGACTTCAGAAAAGGAGCCAGCCGTGGCGAGACTAGGAGCCACCTGGAGGCCCCCGCAAAACCCCACACCGCCGAAGTCCTCCCGCCGCGCTGCATTCCCTGCGGCGCGAACACGTCTGGCTTCCCGGGGCGACCTGCGCCGCAGGGCCCCCCCCGCGCCACGGCCGCTGGCGCTCGCTGCCACCGCCGCCCCGCCTCGAGCGCGGCAGGCGGGCCAGGGGCACGACCGCCCCCCGCCGGAGGTGGCCCCGCGCCGCCGGGGGCCGGCGGCGTGGCCTGGGCCGCACCTCGGAGCGGGCAGGTGGGCGTTGCTGCCGGGCCCGGGTTTCGACCCCTGGCCGAAGGGTGCGGATACGGGGGGGTGGGAGGCCCGGAGAGGGGCACCAACACCAAAACAGGGGGTTGCCTCCGCAGGGGGAAGGTGATCCTGGATTTCGGTGTGGGTGGTCCTATTTCGGTCACCTTGGAAGCCAGAGTATTACCACCAGCTCCGAGATTGGGATCTTCATCCCTCGGTGGAGGCACACCGCCGATCGTGGTGTTGGTGTCAACCTCTGGGCCTGCGAGGGGAGGGGTTCGGGGCTCCGTCGATCTGCCTCTGGCACAGTGGCGCAGGCAGACTCGGGGGAGGGGCCCTGACCAGTCCCCAAAGCAGCCACGAACTGCTCTACGGTTAAGTCGGGCCTGTCCCCCTACAGGGGGATTTTGGACGAAAATAACAAATACGCAGAACATGCCCCCAAATGGCAACAAAAATCTTTAAAAATAGTCCCCAGACTGTTGTTTGGACCATTTTCGGATATTCCTCCTGTAGAGGGACGTGCCCGCCTTAAGTCTACGGAGGGGGGGGGCCGGCAGCCTGCGCCGAGCGGAGAAGCCACGCATGAAAGCACAGCTGCCAGGAGAGCGTGTTGCTTATGATTCTGGCAGGCTTGCCTGCGTGGGGGGGAGCAGGGGGGGGCGGCGGGGCGCGGCGAGGCCCGAAAGGAAGTCCGGGCTTCGCGCAAGCTTTGGGAGGGTGGGGGGGGGGGGGGGAAATGACATACATGTGAACTTGCTAGGATCCAATCAAAAAAAGCATTCCAGGAGAACCACCTTCCCAAGACCTCCCCTCGTCGCGAGAAGACCCTGAGATCCTGACGTGTTTTTGTTTGCGCTTCGACGCAGATCGATCGGGCTCGAAGAAGTGACGCAGAAAGATTGGGTGCAATGCTCTGGGGGTGACTGTTCGCGATGATGCATTTTGGTTGCAACGTCCCATCTCAGGGCTCCCCCGACCTACCCTCGTCGCGAGAAGACCACGCTGAGGGGTTTTCGGCCTCGCCGAACCAGGGGGGCCGTGGTAAAACGACCCTAGAAGAAACGCGGGTCCCAGGAAAAGGTTCCAGACCTCTGGGATCCACGTTGCGAAAAAGAAACACGACTTGGAACGTTTGGGCTTGCGACAGTCACCCCATATACGCGAGGCCCGTTGGCAATTGCACCCCTACAAGGAAGAAGTCGAACAGGGCAAAGCTGCGTGTTGAACGCCGAGGACTGGTTGGCAGAAACCCAGAACTGCTTGTAGTCCCGAAACGGTGCGGTGACAGACCGTGCGGTGGCCTCGAAATCCCCCAAGACCTCACCGCACCGTCCGTCAACACACGGTTCTGGGACCTCGGATGCCCCAGTCGCCCAAGATGCCCTCGGAGAACGACCCGAGTCCCAAAAACGATCTGGTGACCCCGAATCCCCACCGACTCACCACACGGTGTGGTCATCACCCCGTTTGGGAACCCCCGAAATTGGCTATCAAATATTATCAATAGGTCGGGCCTGTCCCCCTACAGTGGGATTCTGGACGAACATTGAAAATACTGAACAAATATTCAAAAGATGGCCGAAAATACTGAAAAAAATAGTCCCCAGACAATCTTTGACTTTTTTGATATTCCCCTGTGAAGGGACAGGCACGACTTAATATTATCAGATGAGCGCCACGCTCTGGCTGGGGGCCGGGGCAGCGGCGGTCCCAGACGTCGCGACGTCACGATTTTTGTTCCCAGCGTCGACCCCAGAGGTCTCGACCCCTTCCCCGGGAGCGGTTGTATTCCTCACGCGCTGCGTTTTGGCGCCCCCGAGGGCCGGCAAGGGCAGCCAGATAGCGGAGCACCCTCCGTCGTGATTCTCTTGGTTCGGCGGTGGACCAGCCTCCCTTTCGTAAACCGCCCTTTTGTGAAAATGGCCTGGGACCAAGATCGACGCTCCTGGACCCGCAAAAACGACGGCCGCGGCGCCCTCTCGCAAACCGACAACGGCCGTTTCGCTAATCGACGCGTCAGGGTAGGAGGTCTATCAACCTCCGGTTTGTTGGCGTGACTCGAGGGGGTCTGGGGTCCTTCCTTTGAGCAGGGACCGACCGTCCCGGCATTGCTGTAGTCCTACCACGAAATGTTCTTAGAACCCAAATATGTTCTAAGAACAAAAGCAATGTTCTTGGAACATAAAACCCGATGTGATAAACCAAAACAGACTCCGCCCGAAATGTTCTAAGAACATTTCGTGGAAACCACAAAAGGTCCTCAAAACATTGCTTGTTGGGGCTATATAGGCGACCCGGGACGCTTCGCCACTGCTTGAGATTCCTCCCTCGAGACCTCTGCCCTGAGGCAGCCACGGCTGCAGGGAGGCCTCCGCGGCCGCCGTGCGCGGCTCTGCCCCGTTCAGCAGCGTGGCCTCGGACGGCACCGGCGTCTCGCCCGGCGGCAGCGTGGCGGCGTCGTCGGGCGGCGGCGGGCCCTCCTTGCCGTGGATGCGGATGACGCGGGCCGGCGGCGACGGCGCGCCGTCGCCCGCGTCCCAAAGGGACCCCTCCAGGAGGCCCGCGCCGCTCGGGGAGGCCCTGGCAGGAGCAAGGAAGAGCGACGCCGACACCACCAGGGCGAGGAGATGCGAGGAGCAAGGGGGGGCCTCCCTGGTGGTGTGGTCCCCCCCTCTCGCTCGAGGCATCCCCATCCTCCAGCTCGAAGAGGCATCGTGGACCTCCTGGCTGGAGGTGCCCCCACTGGTGGTGTTGGTGTCGCTTCTCCTCCCTCCGACCTGGAGGAGGCGCTGCGGTGCCGCGCCTCCGACCCGCCGGTCGTCGGGGAGAGCCGGAGGCTGGATTCGTTGACGCTGTGCCGCGACAGGCGGGCGGGCCTCAGCGGCGTGACGGCGCCCGAGGCGTCCGCCTGCGCCCCCGCCCCCCCCCCCCCAGACATCCGACGACGACATCTTGTCAATGCGCGGCGGCCCCACCCAGAGGTGCCGCCGACGCATCCCCGACGCATCCCTAACGCGCAGGATGCGCCATGGAAGCTGTCCAAACGGCATCTGCGACATCACAGGGCGCACGGTTGCTATGACGCACCCTGTGCGTTGTGGATGTGTTGGGGATGCGTCGTTGGCACCTCTGGGCAGACGTCCCAACACCTTCCCCAGGGCCAGTCAGGCCCCCTGATCCATCTCTTTCTCGGTCGCCCCAGGCGTCCCCAGAGCATGACTCGAGCCCCAGAACCATGCGGTGACCCCGAAGCCCCACTAACTCACCACTCGGTGTGGTCACCACACCGTCTGGGGGCCCCCGAGTTTTGATGGCCTCAAGTCCCAGAATAGGGACATCGAAAGCGGCATCGAGGGATGTCATCGAGGGCAAACGCCCGGATAGATAATTATCCCAGAGAAACCAGACATCCGGCGTCTCAATTTTTCGAGACGCGAGCCCCCGATCTCTCGACCCCTTCCCCAGGACCGGTTTCTCATCCCGAATCCTTTTTTGACGGTCCCAAAGGCCCAGTATGGACCCCGAGAGGCCGAACACGATGAGAAACCTCTGTCCCCATTTTTTCGAGACGCCGGATGTCGGGGAAAGGCCGGCGTCGAGGACAATGCCCAGGCTGGCCGGCATCGAGGGCGCACGCCCGGATTCCAAAGGAGTCAGCTCGTCGGCTGGGCCTGCGCCTCGGCGGCCGGCTCGCGCCACCGCGCGGCCGCGCCCGGCGGAGAGCGCGGCACGGGAGCCCCGGTGCAGCGGACGACCACCTGAGCATCGTTTGACCGATCCCCGTCCCCCATGGCGTGGCCGAGGCTTACGTCGGGCCTGTCCCTACGCAGAAATAATCCACAAATGCTATGGAGGCCGATCTTTTGATTATTTATCAGCCATTTGGGAATATGTTCTGCCAATTGTTTCGCTTTTTTTCCAAACACCGACTGTAAGGGGACATGCCCGACCTACGCCTAGGCCCCAATCCAGAGACCCTGGCGTCTCAATCTTGTCGGGCCGGGCGTTTTGGTCCGGTTTCGCCCCCCGGGACCCTTACAAATCGAACAGCACGAGAAATTGTGCAGAGCATTTGGATATGGGACTCCAGTCGGGTTTGTTCTCGAAATCTAGCTTTTTGTCGCGCTGTCGGATCTCAGGGTAGGCTGCTCCCTTCGGGTTTCCAGAGGGCCAATCCCCACCTGGAGTGGCAGGGTGGTGGGGCTGAGATACCATGGCCTGGTGGGGATGGGGATCGGTTCGCAAAAATGCGACATCAAAGTTTGTCCCCAATCGGTGCTTGCACTGAAGGGGTCCTAGCGGAAATCCCACCAGCCCTCTGGGCGTCGGTGGTTTAGGGAGCCCCCGAAGAGGCCAAAACCTTAGGAAATTCAATGTGTTTCGTTTTCTCGCCTTTTCGCTTCCGATGGCCATCCGAGGCCTCAAGATGGCTCCAAGATGGCCCAAGAGGGCTCCACGAGAGGCTCCAGAGAGCCCCAAGACGACCCCAAGAGCGGCTAAGAGCGCTCCAAGAGCGCCCCAAGAGGCGATTGTTTGGGCTCCCGAGGGGCAGCGCTAACTAATGCTCGCTTCTTGTTTGATCGGTGTCCCCCAAGATGGCCCCAAGAACGCTCCCAAGGCTTCCAAGAGCGCTTCCAGAGGAACCCAAGAGTCGCCCAGGAGGCCCCAACAGGCGCCCAAGAGGCCTCCAAGATGCTCCCAAGAGACCCCCAAGAGGCCCCAAGAAGCTCCCCGAGGCACCCAAGACGCTCCAAGAGGCCTCCACTGGGGTACCCTTCATCTGTGTGTTGCCCACTTCCCTGATCGAGGCAATTACTCTGGGCATCGTTTCTGGATGGGCTGTTGGGGTTACATTTTTTTGTTGCAACCGCAAGCGAAAGCGCAAGCGGCGTCAGGACGGGACGGGCGGGCCGCGGGCGACCTAATTACCTAACGTGCCAGCAAACAGAGGCCTAGGCGGCACCTCGGATCACAGGACGCGGGAGGTGGTGCGGGCTGCAGCTGCCAGGAACCAGGTCCAGGAGCGAGCACGTGCAAATTAGCCAGCCGATGTTGGGGCGCAGCCAAAATGGCGCGGGAGCGATACCAGGATGAGCCAGAAGCGCCATCACGAAGGACCGCAGACACCAGCAAGGCCAGGAGGAACTCACTGACCAGGAACCTAATGCATGGAAGTGGCGCCACCAAAGTCGCACACAACGCTGACAAGTGGGCTGGTGGGGTTACGCGAAGCGTCTAGAATTCAAAGATTTGGCGAAAATTTCCCGCCGATTTTGGTAGCAAGTTGGGTTCCCGGGTTCCGGGTTCTGCGTTCCTGGGTTCCTGGGTACTGGTTCCGGGCCGATTTCAATGGGTTCTGGGTTCCCGGGCTCCCGGGTTCCCGGTCGACCTCCTCAGCGAAAACCATCAACTGATTGGGGCTTCTCGGGTGTACATAATTTCAACACGGCGTGCCTGCAAGCCCCGACACCTTCCCCGGAGCCCGATGTTCACCCCGAGTCGTTCTTCGACGCTCGCCCTCCCAAGGCCCCTGCGAGGGCCCGGCCGGAAAGCAACCAAACACCTCCTGTCGTGATTTCTGCCCCACGACGCGAGCACGTCTGGGTTCAACGCTGCCGACCACCGGCGACGCCGCACAGATCTCGAGGAACAAATACGGGCATGAACATATACACTCTCGGGGGTGCGCGCGGAGTTCTTGCATCGGCACTGGAGCGCGCCAGGGGCGGGGCCAGAGGCGCCGCCGGGGAACTCCAGCGCCGATCCGAAAATCCGCGGGGACCTAGGACAATCTATGTTTATGCCACTATTTGTTTCCCGAATACCAGCATGCCAGGGTCTGGGGAGCAAACTCAACTCCCAGAATTGTTCTGGAATTGTTTTGGGGTGCGTTTTGGCCAGCATGCCGACCCCCTCTGGTACCCACAACGGGCAATCAAACATTGATTTTTCCGCGACGCGAGCACGCCTGGGTTCAACGGCGACACGAGCATGCACTTTCGGAAACGCGCGGATTTCTTGCATCGGCTCTGGAGCGCGCCAGGGGCGGGGCCAGAAGCGCCGACACGGGGCTCTAAAACTGGTCCGAAAAATCCGCGCGGAGATCCGACAGCGTATGTTTATTGAACGAGCTCCTTCCCGAATACCAGCGCATGCCAAGGTATGAAGGTGGAAATCCGCCGACCCCTTGGGGATCATCGGCGTGTGAGATGCTTCCCCCTCCCCAAACCCCTCCCCCGGGAGCCCGGTCCGGTTGATTTGGAGGGGGGGGGGTCCGGGACGAGCGCAGCACGGCCGGGACGAGCGCAGCACGGCCGGGACGAGCGGTTCACGGGGCTTTTCCGGGCCCAAGAGGGCCTCAAGACGGGCCAAGAAGCCCCCAAGAGGCCTCCAAGACGGCCCACGAAGGCCCCGAGACGCCAAACGACCGCTTCAAGACGCCCAAGATGGCCCCAAGACGGGCCAAGAGGTCTCCAAGACGGCCCCCGAGGTCCCAAACAAGCCTCCCAAGAGGGCCCCTAAGAGTCTAAACTTGTTTTTTCGATGTTTGTTGCTTTTCCGATGTTTTTCTATGTTTTTTGCTGTTTCGATAGTTTTCCGCCTTTTCGGCTTCCCGACGCTCCAAGACGGCCAAAGAGGCCCCAAAGACAGCCCCAAGATGGCCCAAGAGGCCCCCAAGACGGCCTCCAGACGGCCCAAGACGGCCCCAACACGGCCCAAGAGGTCCCCAAGACGGCCCAAGAGGGCTCCAAGACGGCACCAAGAGGGGCCCAAGAGGGCGACCAAACATGTTGAAACTCTAGCTTTCTGCCCCCAGGAGCCCCAGGGGGCCCCAAGAGTGCCCCAAGAGGCCCCCAGAGGCCCTCACGAGGCCGCCCAGACGCCCCAAGGAACCCCCAAGAAGCACCCCAGAGGCTCCGAAACGGCCCCCAAGTGGCTCCAAAACTCGCTTCCAGAGGCCCCCGAGAAGCGATCCGCGAGATCCCGATACACATACAAGAAGCCTCTCACCCATAACCCATAACCCAGAGCCGTTTCTCCGTGTCCCCCTTCTCCTCCTCCTCCTTTTCCTCCACCTGGGCCCCCAAGTGGTTCCAAACTGCCTGCCATAGGCCCCCGAGAGGCGTGCCGCGAGATCCCGATACACATACAAGACGCCTCTAACACATAACCCATAACCCAGAGCCGTTTCTCCGTGTCCCCCTTCTCCTCCTCCTCCTCCTCCTCCTTTTCCTCCACCTGGGCCCCCAAGTGGTTCCAAACTGCCTGCCATAGGCCCCCGAGAGGCGTGCCGCGAGATCCCGATACACATACAAGACGCCTCTAACCCATAACCCATAACCCAG